ATTCGACTGGGACAACCAGCGTTCAAATATTAGACAGAGGAAACAACAAGAATGCTAGAGAATTTTTAGAAGCTCGGCATTCCAGTGAATCATCAATCAATAGACACATCGAGATAGACAAAATTATTCAGTCGCTAAGAAAGAAACCTCACACACACAAAGGGTCAAAGTTCAAGTCAAAGAAACAATCAGTTCCAATACAAGTAGCCTAGAAAGTGTGAAAACACACATAAACAACCAATCACGTCCAAGGTCACCCACCAGGAGAGATGATTAATAAACTCGTGGAGAGATCTAAAAGCTCACTTGAACTCAGATTGAAGTATGTGCTGAAGATGTCACCCAGTAGGGTGATGAAAGCTTCGCAAATTAACTATCCAGCTCAGAGGACAAAACCACATCAAGATCTTGAAACTCTCACTATTATGCTGTCTCAAAACACGACAATATATCAGTTGAAAACATCTCGGCATTCAGTCATACTTTATCTGTAATTGTTTCGTGATGCATACCTACTCATAATGAATAAATTTTCCGAGGAATCTCTCCGATTAAAATGCATCTCAGAGATGCTTCATCCAAGCATTACCCTTTTAAAATTTAAACAGAGACAGAACAAACATCAATGCAGGGTATCATGAATCAGTTTTATTTTTTTCAATTCCCCTCGACTGAATTCAACGGGTAACATTTAAACCTTAAAATATTCCGTAAGTTAATATTAGAACAAGACATATAAAGCGAACAATATTGTTGTTTTCAATTAGATCTTCTTCAGGCTTTAATCTAATTTACATAGCTCTTTATATATAAAAATTATAACCAATGACGGTGATTTTGTGGATCAAATAATAATAGTAGTAATAATGTGGTAAATGTTTTGAATGTCATTAACAATGATGATTAAAAAATACGTATTACTAAAAGTGAAGTGGACAGATAATCAGAGTTTTAAGAAATGTTATTAATATACGAAGGAAATAAAAAATAAGAAAGAGTGGAGGGTTTCGATTAAAACTGGACTCTTAGGCCAAAGAAGATTCAAACGTAGAACAAACTTCATTTGTATGCAAAGATTAGGATTGTTCTCTCGAATTCGTATTCCGTTCAAAAGGTTCTCTCGTGGGATGCAGCGCAGATAACTTTGAACGCATTTCTGCTTCTGTTCACTTGATAACTACTGAATAGAATTCATACGTTCAAAAATGAAGTTTAATATGAAAGTCTAGAAAAATACTGGAAGAAGTACACAAAACGATGAAGTCAGAAGACAAAGAATTGCGAAGGATAGTTATTATGGTGATTCAGATCCTACTGTGGATTTATTCTGAATACAACAGGTCAGGTTTCTTTGGTTTTATTGCAATAGCCTCAGCAAAGCAGAAGATGATTTAGACTGTTTTGCCGATTGATCACTGTGCATTCTCCTAGCGTAACCACTCAGTTTGTTGTGTCGACCGAGGGTTTGATAATTGACGAGTGTGAACTGCTAAATACCTTTGAAATCCTTCAGAAAATATGACAAAAACCCTTCGTTCTGTTCCTTCCAGTAAAACGACAGCAGAAGGTACACACAAATCGATTATTCTGCACTCAGAGACGCGATAGAAAATACAAAAATCTTTCTTAAAATATCTTTTATTCAGAAGGAGGCTTAAATTAAATCAGGTGAATTCATTCAGTCTCCTTTTATAATGATCAAACCATCGAATATAGTAGATTCTTGTAAAAACTGAAACGGAAATCTTACTAACTATCGAACTTGTAAACAAATATTTTAGGGATTCAGTGAGTCTGACTAACTAATTTATTACTTAATATTGTGATATATTCCCATACCGCATGAATTAAAAGTCATTTTTGAACGAAGAATATTCTTTTGAATAATTTCTCTACTTCAGGTTCTTACAATAATAATAATATATATAACATTTGTTGGCGTTAAAATAATGACAACCAGTTAGTTATGTGACGGATACATATTTTTTTTTAACGTAGAATAACAGATTAACAGTTATAGGGCGTCAAAATTGCTAGTCGTATTTGTGTGACAAACGTCATGATCTGGACTGAAATCGATTACAAAATATTTCGGTGAAATGGGAGACAATGGTGGCGATTAATTATGTTAGATTTGTAGAGTGTGGGTTAGGGAAAATGACAATTCACTTCAAGGTTATAAAAGGTGTCAGGTGATGGAGTGGCTAGTACAAAGTGATATGTATTAAACAGGAGGGGATGGTGAGACTGCAATGAGAAGTTCATAAAGAAATAAGGAATGTATGAAATGAAACAGGTTTAGACATCATTTTGAGAAAAGAGATAATATCACTAATAATAAATCCGGATGTTATAAGTGGAAAATTCGATAGTATTGAGAGAATGTTTGCATGAAGGGTATAAATTATGACGAATAATAATAACTGTAATAATAAGCAAAGAAAGAAAAAAACCAAGAGGGTTAAGGGGAAGAAGCAATCTTGGTGAAAAGATAAATCATCAACCCAAGTTTGACAACGGTAGGAACAGCGTCTGGCCGGGTTCTACTTCCATACAAAGTCCCGGTTTAGTCGATCTTATCGCAGCAGCCTAGCACGTTTGTCACACAAATACGACTAGCAATTTTGACACCCCATAACTTTTAATCTGTTATTGTATGTTAAAAATGCATCCACCGAACAACTGGCTATCATTAATGTAACGACAATAAATATTATAATATTTTATAATTGTAAGAAGCTGTATAGGAGAAATTATTGATAAGAATATTCTTCGTTCAGATTGACTTTAAATTTATTAATTATTTATATGCACAAGACATTGTTTTGAATTTTGCGATGACGGAGGATTATGATTCATCCTGCTGTCTGTTAACTTACTTTGAGATCAACCACCGAAGGCTGATTCAGTTCCAACAATAACAACTACGAAAATAACAACACAGACAGATGTTTATTTACCGAAAATGAGAACTGTTTACAAAAAGAAATGTACACATCATCTTCTTACCTTTGAAATATAAATAAATACCTGTAACAGACTGGTCGTGAATAGTATGGTGAATAATCTTGTTGGACAGTGAATGCTGATTTAATTTAGCCACTTTGTAAGAAACAAAATGCTTTAGATATGGATTAGATTAAACTGGGAAATTGTATTGATCATGAAAGCTGACCAGTAGGGATTATTGGACAGATGTTTCATCCTTGTTTGAAACGCCTCAGCAGTATGCGCTCACGCTTCGACCAATCAGGGATTGAACCTAGGACCTCAATGTGTCTCAGCCGGTCCATGGATTCTCACTTTTGTCGACCAGGGATGTATAGCGCGGCTGCCAACCAATATAGTTGGCAATTGTTTATCCCCGCTCTCAAACTGGTGGGCCCCCACTGATCATGACATCACACTAGAATGTTTGGCAGTCATATTCTATGATAGGTCACCAACGAGAACCAGGGATTTAAAGGATTTCCAGCTTGATTACACACAAACTCCAATTAGAGAAGAGATGCAATCTAAGGAGGAGAAAGTTGTCCAGTACTCCTTTGAGTCAGATTGTGATCCCTGCCAGCCAACCTATAGGGACAAACAATTCTTAATATGTGAATACATTATACTTCCACAAAATCCTGGGGAGATGTATTCGGACACGAAAATGGTTGGTTGGTTAAGATCATTAATCAATAGCCATGAATGATTGAAATACGCCAGCAATCAAATCGCTTTATTGGGATACCCTTAAAAACTTCATTCGAACTTCATCTTGAACATGTATTCATTGTATGGAATGAAGGAGCCGCTGGTTGACCATTAAGCCACTATGACCCGATCCAATGGCCCATGAGTTCTAGTTTCTGCCAATTCATGACATAGCGCGACCATTTGGCAATCTCATCTTTGATGGAATACTGCCTCACCTACAACCTACTGGTGATGGCTTCCCTCTAGAACTGCAGGCAACCGACTGAATAGGGACAGTCGCTAGTGCGCTTCAAACCAATTTTTATGTATTAGTTTTGTGGGCTTTCTTCGACTAGTTGGAAGATTTCATCATGACTTAATATCAGTTAGAGAACCACTGAGAAACCAACTGAGAGTAATAGACAGCTGTTTCGTCCTATTTTGGGTCTCTTTACCAGCATCTCATCGAAGAAGACGTTGCCAAGTGATCACACTATGTCATGAATTAGCAAAAGTTAGAGTTCATACACTGGCTGGCCATTGGATCAGGTACCAGTGGCTGATGAATGGTCCATGAGCTAGCTCGCCTTGCAACCAGAAGGTCCTGGGTCCGAACACTTGGTGGGGGCGTAATTCTGAAGAGTCTCGGTTTAGGACGAAACAGCTGTCTAGTGCTCCTACATGATAATCTAGTAGTTCTTTAACTGATGTCAGCTCATGATGAAATCCGTGAACCAATCATCCAAAATCCCTACAAATTCAATACTTGAAAGCATTTGATAGTTCACTAGTTTACAGCTTGTCTTGAGCTTGGACAAAGAGTGAAGGTTATGCTTGGGGATAGTAACCCTTCCGCAGAAAACAGTCTCATCGCAATAGGGACTTCAAAACACAGAAAATTATGAGAAATAAACTTATTCTTCCCCGGAATCAGAGAGATGAATTAAAGTTGGTTGGCAAAAAATCCTTCAGCAAGCCTGAAGATATGGCATTGTCTGCACAATGTCTGAAGCTGAGAAGGCTACTAAGATTGCAAATAAAGAGGTATAGAAGTTCTAGGAACCTTTCAAAACTAGTGGAATGGAAGTAGACTGTTTGTTAGAAATATCAACGGAGAATTAAATTCTTCATTTGCAAGTGATCCCAGTTCAAGGTGAAAAGTCAGTTTGAGTTCCGCTAGAGATTCCCTCGGAGATTATTCACATCAGAGCAGTGGATATATATGTGTTTCCACAAGTGTTTAGATCATGTATTTACCAAATTTTTCTGTATTGATAATCTGTGTGTGTGTGTGTGTGTGTTTCCAACTTCATTTACAGGCTTGCAAGACAATGAACCCCAATTTGATATATGTCAATTATATAAATCCTCTGTATGTAAGAATGGACAATGTATCCCTCGAGGTACTTCATATGAATGCATATGTAATGAAGGCTTTGAACCATCGGAAGATCGTAAAACCTGCCAGTGTAAGTTACGCATAATTTTATTAATGATTACAATAAAACACAAATTTTTTGGATTTTTAATGCCATTCCAGAAGTGTATTACTCTGTAACGTTCTCGGTGATTTTCTTTTATTGATGGAGTGAATTTTGTGTGAATTTAGTGAACCGTTAGCTTCTCATAATGTCATTCAGATGAAAGCATCTGTTCCCTTTTTTTTTGTGTTGTTCAGGAGTTAGAAAGACTCCCAGGAATCAGGCTTTCGTAATGTGCAGCAACGGGAAAATCTAAACGAATACTGAAGTCGCAGTTCATCGGAAAATCTCAGTTAATTTGCTAATATGATTTTTTCTTTCCTGGAACACGAGGTTTTTGAGGCTTCTCTAGCTATAGTATCTATTTTGCAAGCTTGCTCCCGGATAGTAAGCTAATCCAGGTTTAGGAGTAGGTCGATGAGACTGACGAACACTCAGCAGCAAAGAACTCCCCCCAATAAATACCTTGTCCGTACGAGTTGTAACACTCCTGAAAGATATGCGAATATCAAATAAGAATATGGCACTATTAAAAATGAGTTATGACAGAAATACACAGCGGTTTGCCTCAGAAACGACTTCAAAATCTACGATCAGGCTGTGACATAACAACGGAACATAGGGCTCCAAGCTAGGGGCTCGAAGTTTAGGTAGCGGTGGTGTTTGGTTTTACAGAATGGCGTTGCTGCTAGCCTCATACGCAGCCCAACCTTCCCTCTTTACCAGTCTTATTACTGGCTTAGTGAGGTAAAGTGATGAGTCTGTGGCCGGGAACCGGACCCTGGACCACATGGGGCCTGGTTAGTGAGCTTTCTACTGCTGTGCCACCGACGCACAGGTGATTTCTAACATAACTTAGCTTGTCATTGTCTTAAGCTTTTGCTAAACACATCTCTATTCAGAATCACATTCGTAATCTATTTAGGGCGGTGTCTCAGCATGCAGAACTCGTATTCATAATACCTTACTCCTGATTTACCATGATATAAATGTTTCGAATTTCTCCTCGTATTTGACTGAAAATTAAGCCATCGTTTTGTCTCATACAACTAACGTTAAAAATAGATTTCTTGTTTTATTATTACAGAGTATCCCTACGTATCTAATTCGATTTCCTAAGCCTCCACTTTTACCTTTCTTTTTACTTTGCACTTCACATTATGTATTACACTTTTCAAGACATAATTACCGGTATACTGGTACATACTACTAACTGACTGGAGTAAGAATTTAGGCATCACTCCCAGTGACACGTTACCATTTAACCGTAACTTCTGTGACCTGTTTTCGTTGACCGTATGATCTCTATAAGGCTTTCATTTTCTCCTTGCACTGTCTCATCCATGTCGCTCTTATGATCACACTGAACTCTTCATTCCCCTCCCTTTGGGTACACTCAATAGCCCATTTGACGTATGATATGTCTTAGCGGTCTTCTCAGCTTATTTTCAGCGTATCTTGATTTCCCTGGGCATATTTATTAGGGGAAAGGCTCTCGGCTGGTTCATTGTCAGAGTCTCTCAACCACTTTTCCTATCCGATCTTAAGTATGGAACCAGAGAATGCAGCTTTTGATAACATTCTGAGGTTGATATGTATCCACATATATATATTTATGTGTGTGTGTATGTTGGTCTCTCTTTCTGTTTGCTCTCCTAGTCTGTGACCATTTCACTTTGATGAACCTGTCTCCTTTAACAATGTATATTCCCCTTATATTATATATAATATGAGTGTTTGTTGACAGTCCGTTGCTTGGTGACATATATCCACATTATATGTGGGGATGTTGACATGTCTGCTATATTCGCTATGTATATATGGATCGACACTCCATTATAATTAGCCATCCATGTTAAGACTGTCTAATGATTTATTCCCACGCTTTGTCTGGAACATTCATATATATTTCGCATTCACAATTTGTGTGACTTTACTTACTTACCACTTTGGTGTGAGACCATTTATTTTCGTCTCTTTGTGTTTGGACAATAGAAGTATCATCGCAAACATAGTGGTCTTCTGATTTCCGCCTTCTCGCGTCAGGACTATTAGTTTCTCGACCAGTCCATAACAATAATTCAGCGACGAGTACATAACAATTTGGCGACGGGGAAACTAGTACATAACAGAGGTACATGTGTAAAATAGTTTCCATTACACCCTCATCAAATCTCTAAACCACATAGAACCACTGATTTAAATATTTGTCCCCTATGCTAAATGCAGTAGGTTTCCATATTGATTTCAGGATAATGACAGCTGCAGCGAAGAAAATTTTCTTTTCGACAAAGTCACCGTCAACTAGATAGCTGTACATTCAAGTATTTATGATAAATGTGTAGGAAACTTCCAGAGTAATTCTCGGTGAAGGGTCAAATTAATAAAATTACAACTACGAATTAAAATGCCATAATAAACAGTGGGTGAGGGGGACGGATAAAACTCAAACAAAGTAGCATCATAATTACTGAGAAGGCTGATATTGATTGTACAACAACAGACAGGATGTTTGGATAAAAACATCTAGTGGGATCATAATTAATGTGACGAATAATTTTTTATGCAATCAGGGATTAAATATGCAGAAATAATAAAATGACATAATAGACAGGAAGTTCTGATATGAAAATATGGGGGGATTAAGAAAAACTTTAAACTAACATGAATAAACAGGAAGTTTAGATAAAAAAGGCAATGGGATTTTAATTCCTAATTGTAACTGTATTAATTTGACCCTTCACCGGGAATTACTCTGGGACTTTCTCACCCATTTATCATGAATACAGAAATGTACGGCCTAGATAATGACTGTCTTTTGAATTTCTACCGTCAATGATTCTCGATGTTTGTTGGTCAGTTATCTTCATCATCACTGTCTTTTCAACGTTCGCTTGAAGTCCTGTCCTCTCTGCCTATTCTAGCAACCTTGCTGATTCTACCTAGTAGGCCTTTGAGTGGGTATGACATAAAACATGTCTGACATGAGTCGAACTAATTCAACGCCGATGATCTTTACTCTAAACGACTCAAATGGTCATGTGGTGTTTAGATAACTTCAATCTGGATAGCAAACACTACTAATTAACATGAGTGACATTCATTTTGATTTGATTTTTGATTTACAGCTTGATTCCACACTGTATTTTTGGTACAAGTATGGAATTTTCAGCATGGATATCGGTAGCCCGAATTTTGCAGGCCGACCATAGATATCAGGTGTGCGCCGGCGTGGGCTCGAACCCCTGACCACGTGCATGGTCGCCGAGAGTCCTAACCACTGTGCCACCGACGCACACTACTCATATCGATAAATTAGTAGTATAAATCACCATTCATTCATCCTGACTTTATTGATTGTCATTTATGCTATCAAGTAGGTCACATACTTTGTGACCTGAATAATTCCGATTTCCCTAAACTTCTTTTAATTCAAAATAAGAAGGAATCATATTGCACATGCTTCGCTACATGTTAAACGCGTATCTCATTCCTAAACAGTTGGCTACAAAATTACTCCATATTAGTTTGTTTATTAGATGTATCGTACAGTCACCGAAACAGAATTATTTACTGGATGACACACTTTCGAATTCAATTTATTGTTCATAATCATATTCTCAACTAAAATCACACGACTTAGAAACTTGAGTTTTATAGTTTTCTTTACATTCTCCTATTTGTCGTCGTTGGAGTAGTAGAGTTTTGAATATATCTGCGACAGGTGTTGAACCATTCCTGTCATACCTGTTCTCTCTCAGTCGATTCGATAAACAAACCTTCCGTTATCAATCTTTCTCTTCCTACACCCTGTGACATTATATCATAAAACTGTCATCTTATCCCATCCTATTGTACGGCTGTGTTGTGTGCAATTGCATGTAGTGCTTGTTATGGCCGAACTATTCTCTAGATGTCTTATCTTATTCGAGTCAACTTATCTAGATTTCGCCGTTAGGCTTTTACGCTCGGCTAGTCTGACTGACTGCCCCTGTTCTACTAGTTTGACCTATGTATTTGACATGACAATCATTGAAGGCAGGGTATTAGATGAACTGAATTGTTTTGTTTTATTGTCTCCACAGGGTTGGTCTTTTAACCGACAAATCTTGTTTCTAAATGAGTTTGTAGGTGGTTTGAATGCCAGCCACTTTTATTTCTCCCAGCATTATTAGGAATTCTGTGTAAGGTGGTTTCCGAGGTTCCTTCCTTGTATGGAATAACACACAACACAACCATACAATAGGATGGGATAAGATGACAGTCTGTTTTAAAATCTGATGTAATAGGATGGAGGGAGAGATTGATAACGGAAGCTTTGTTTATCAAATCAACTGCAAATCAACATGTGTAATAGGAATGATTCAACATCTATCCAGCTGGACATTTGAGTAATTCTACTACCCCAACAACGACAAATAGGAGAGAACAAAGAAAACTATAAAACTCAAGTTTCGAAGTCGTGTGATAATAATTGAGAATATGATTATGAACAATATATCGTATTCGAAACGTCGTCCAGTAAACATTAATGTTGTTTCACTGGGTGATACATCTAATAAGCAAACTGATATGGAATTACTTACTACCACAGTACCCAAGTTTTACACATATATTAATACAAAATAACTATTTAATAAAACAAAAGCCTTAGTGACTTTCAATGTTTCAATGTGAGAAAATATTGTTTAACTGCAAACAAAATCTCATATATGTCTGTGTGTGTACTTTTAACAAAAAGAAATTTAATAATAAACAAAAGAAGAATAAATTTTTATTATTTCACTCCGTACTCTACAGTATTTTTTTTCGTTTTTTGCTAGTCTGATGTAATTATGCCATAAAAGTTAATTGATGATTGAAATAAAACCATTTTATTTGTTTGTTAGCTTCGCCATTTATACCCTGATATGGAATTTTTTAATTACAGCTTGATTCCACACTGTATTTTTGGTACAAGTATGGAGTTTTCAGAATGACATATCGCT